GATTTGGAAGATAAAAAAAATGTAAACCTATTATAGAATCTTAATCGAAATTAAGCAATAAACAAGAAAGATTATTTCAGGATTTGCATAACTTTAGATTTATTGAAATGCCCCAAGTTGTGCAAAGTTTCATTCTGTTGTAACAAGAGGAAACGATTATGGAAATATGTTTTATACTACATATACTAAGTGACATATAAATCCGAACAGCCAGTTTAAATGGTTTTATTTTAATAAAAGTTGGTGAATGTCTTTATCTTACTGTAAATAACTAGTGAAAAAATTTTCAGCCTTATCAGTTTTTATACTGCTTTTTTTTAATTCACTAACGCTCTAAAAATGAATATTTCAGCCGCAGTAAAGAATCAACGTTGGCGGATTTTGGTTCTTGACATCCTTTACGATCGGTTACGATGCCTAGAGTACGGAGACCTGTACGATTTCGTCAACTTAGTGACTTTGATAGGGGCCGTATAGTGAGACTTCGGGAAGCTGGACTTTCTTTTCGGGCAATTGCAGTTAGAGTGCAAAGAAGTGTTGACACTGTGGTTAGGTGTTGTCAGGCATGGCTTCGAGAAGGCCGTACGCAAAGAGCAAGGGGCACTGGACGCCGCCGTAGAACAACAGACCGTGAAGATCGCCGCCTAAGATTATTGGCCTTAAGGGACCGTTTCTCCACTACCAGGTCCATTTCAAATGAATGGTTTGCAGAACACGGAAGACCTATTGGCATGCGAAGTGTTTACCGACCAATGAGAAGTTTTGGATTGTTTTCATACCGGCCACACTGGGTCCTCCCTTTAACTCGAGAACACCGACGTAACCGACGTTGTGCCCTACTGAGCGAGGGCCGTGGCAAATGCTTGTTCCGGAAGTCGTTGTATCCAGTATACAACTTCTTCCCGTCCAAGTGATTGCGCACGCGTTAAGAAATACCTCAGTACCGATTGCCGGGTGGCGGTACAAGTCCGCCAACGGGCCACTTTAGGTCTATTTAACATCACTAATACGTAAAAAGAAGGTGGTAGACAAGGACCACTCGACCGAGGCAGTACCACCCGCTAGCTTTTCCAAGGGTGTCTTATAAATGTCCGCATGTTTCCACACCTAAGCTATGCAGTCGGTTATCTACCAAAACAAAGAAATTAATGATGATGGATCCCTCGAGCACTAAAAACTCCGGACGTAAACTCACTCCACTCTCGGAATGTCCGGGTGGAGGGTGGGCTCGAGGGAACAACATCGAAGATAAAATTTGTTTTTCGAACATCTGCGGGATCAACAGCAACATTGATGCTGTTCATCACTACCTGCAATCCAATCATCCCGCCGTGCTTTTCTTGGCGGAGACAAAAATCTCAGAGGCTGCACCGATTAACCATCTCAACTTCCCAAACTACGAGGTGCACTCCAATCTGAGAAAGAACGGGGGAGTTGTGGCTTTTGTCCGCAGCAGTCTTTCCTGCTCCAGGGATCTTTCTTTGGAATCAGACCGGAAGGACATTCTGTGGCTTCGCCTCAACTCCAAAACATCACCCAAATTTATTTGCTGCCTTTATCGCTCTCCCTCGAACCATAATTGGGATGACCTACTCGAATACCTCGCCGTCCAGATCGACTTCCTGAACATCAATCACCCCGCTTCAGAGGTAGTTCTTCTCGGTGATTTCAATGCCCATAATGAGCTTTGGTTGGGCTCAAATAAGACCGATGCAGCAGGTCGTGCAGTCGAAGCGTTCGCTCTTACTCAAGGGCTGACCCAGCTGGTGACGAGCCCTACTTTTTTCCCCCGCGTCTCGTCACACGCCAGTAGCCTGCTGGATCTCTTTCTGACCACGCATCCTGCCCCTTACAGCACTGCCGTCCTGTCCCCCCTGGGTAACTCAGATCACGGTGTTGTGGAGGTTAGGTTTCGGTCAGAAGCCGCTGTGGCCGCAGAAACTCGCACAGACCGCAAAACTTGGCATTACGGACATGCCGACTGGGAGGGGCTCAGATACTTCTTCTCTAGCTTTCCTTGGAGAGATGTCTGTTTCACTAACGCGGATGCGTCGACTGTCTGTTCTTCAATAACCGAAATTATCCACGTCGGAATGGAGGAATACATCCCTCACACAGTGAAAGTTCCTAAACCAGGGACCAACGGCTGGTTCAACAAATCGTGTGACATTGCTCGCCAGCAGAACCAAGGCCCACAGAACCTACTTAAAAACCCCACTGTAGAGAACAGACAAGCCGACGTCGAGTCCAGAACCAAATATAACGAAGCGGTTCGCAATGCCAAAACCCAGCATGATATAAAAGTTAGGCACAGGGTAATGTCGCAGCGCAATGGCAGTCGGTCTTTCTGGACGCTGGCCAAGCAGATTGAAAAGAACTTCTCACACAGTAGCCTTCCACCACTTACGTGTCGGGATGGAACTATTGTATTCGACTCAAAGGCCAAGGCGGAAGTGCTAGCCAAGATCTTTGCTGCCAACTCCACCATGGACGTCCCCACCAACGCCCAAGTGCCGTCAATTCAAAGGGTTCCCCACACTATGCGGGAGGTAACATTCAGGCATAAGACCGTAAGACGAGTGCTCTTGTCGCTCGACATCAACAAAGCTTCTGGTCCGGACTTGATTCCTGCCATTGTACTGAAGAGATGTGCAGCTGAGCTTGCTCCAGTTCTTTCGCGTCTCTTCCAGATATCTTATGAATCCGGCACCTTCCCAGAAAACTGGAAATTTGCTCATGTACAGCCCATCCCAAAAAAAGGATCTAAAACCGACCCTTACAACTACAGGCCTATAGCTCTGCTTTCTGTTATAAGTAAAGTGATGGAGAGGTGCATAAATCGCGAGCTTCTGGACTACCTCGAACGTCACAGCTTGATTAGTGACAGGCAGTACGGTTTCCGGCACCAACGATCCACAGGGGACCTCCTAGCTTACGTCACGCAACTGTGGAGTAAACTCATCCAGTCTCATGGTGAGGCTCATGTCGTTGCTCTTGACATCACGAAAGCGTTCGATCAGCTGTGGCACGCTGCCCTCTTGAGCAAACTTCCATCCTACGGCCTCCCAGAAAAGCTTTGCAAATGGGTGGCTGACTTTATCTCTGGCCGCAAGATATCCGTCGTAAAACGGATTCTCCTCTTCATCCCACAACGTCAACGCGGGTGTTCCCCAGGGATCGGTTTTGGCTCCAACACTGTTTCTCTTACATATCAACGACCTCCTTTCCTGCACGATCAACCCAATCCACAGCTTCGCTGATGACAGCACTCTACATGCAGGAATTCAGAGTGACAAGCCGATCTCTGCCGCTGAGCTGGAAAAAAGAAGACTAGCGACGACTTCTTCTCTGACAAGAGACCTGGAGGCTATCACTGCTTGGGGACGCAACAATCTTGTACAGTTCAATGCTTCCAAAACACAGTACTGTACTTTGACGAACAAAAAGCGTCCTAGCGCTCATACAGTTTCGATGGACGGTCGAGTTTTACCAAAGAGCCATTCATTTCGGCTGGTCGGAGTCCAGATCACCGAGGACCTGATCTGGCACGAACACATCTCTTCAATAGCTGCAGCTGCTGGGAAAAAGCTAGGCTATTTGTTTAGAGCTAAGAAGTACTTTTCTCCGCATGACCTTCTCACTCTATACAAGGCCCAGATAAGGCCTAGCCTCGAGTATTGCTCACACATTTGGGGTGCTGCCGCCCCGACTACATTGTCCATGCTCGATGCTGTCCAGAGGAGGGCGGTCCGACTGATCGATGACTCTTCTCTAACAGACAGTCTCGGGACTCTTTCGCACCGGCGGGCCGTCGGCGATCTAGCTCTTTTCTATCGCTACACCAACGGGCTTTGCTCCTCAGAGCTCTCTTCCATGATGCCGCCGCGCGATGTGCCTGCCAGACAGACCCGCCTGACTTCGGCGTCCCATCCTAACCGTGTCAAACTTCGTACATCCAGAACTGGCCGATACGACCGCTCCTTTGTCCCGAGGGTGTCTAGATTGTGGAACAAACTACGGGAGGAAGCTTTTCCCAGTTCTACTAACCTTAGGCAGTTCAAAAATCGTATTAACAAAATTTCTTTGGGATCATCATAGCAGCCGCGGTGTTCCGGCATTTAGGCTTCTGCCTGCGCGGCTGTTTCGATATAAAAAAAAATAAAAAATCGCCTTGAGTGGTGCAGACAACGGTCACGCTGGGATCAGGAATGGAACAGTATTGTCTTTAGTGACGAGTCTCGATTTCGTTTAGGCATGCACGATGGTCGTGCCAGGGTTAGAAGGCGACGTGGTGAAAGGAGGAATCCACAGTTTTTTGTTGAAAGACATGTTCATCACACTGTTGGAGTTATGGTTTGGGGTGCTATAGCTTATGGTTCCAGGTCACCTTTAATCTTCATCAGAGGTAACATGAACGCGCAGCGTTATATCCACGAAGTTCTAGAACCCCATCTTTTACCCTATCTTGACACCCTGGCAGATCCAACTTTCCAACAGGATAATGCCCGATCACATGTTGCAAGAGTCACAATAGACTTCTTTCAACATAATGATGTCACATTGTTACCATGGCCACCAAGATCTCCCGACTTATCCCCAATTGAGCACGTGTGGGATATGATGGGTAGGAGATTGCTCAATTTGCAACGTCCTCCTCAGACTCTAGAAGCACTTCGAGAGGAGTTCGTGGTTGCCTGGACTGAGGTACCACAGGAGGACATTGACCACCTGATCAGAAGCATGCCTAGATCAAAGGGCTTTAAAGTAGTGCAATCATTTTGAAATTTTTATCATTTACTTATTATGCTTCATTAAGTACTTATACAAAATTTTATTAAAATAAAACCATTTAAACTGGGATTTATATGTCACTTATTATATTTCTGTATCTTTTCTGGGGTTTCTAAGAGAACCTTTTCAAAACCCTCGTCTTCAAGTTAAATCCGCTGTGTAGGTTCGAATTTCGATGTACTGCCTTATTTTTACATTTTTTCCAACAGGCTGCAAGTTTGAGCAACACTCTGAGACTTCAGGCAAGAAGCAGCAGTATTCTGGCACTTCTATCTGCCTCATCTTGCAAAAACAAGGGAACCGAGTTACTTGCCTCGCATGCCTTATCTTTGGACGTACTGCTTTCCAAAGGTAAGATTTTAAAAACAAGGTGTATCTGCTTAGTAAAGAAAACACGAGGGACAATGTCAGATATTGTGAATAATATAGAGGGAGTTCAGTGTGTACTAGAGAGAGGCGTGAGAAGTGTGTATCAACACATGCTAGAAAGGGATAGAAGCCGGCTGAAAAGCGGAGGTCATCCCAATGTGTTGCACCAGAGAAAATGTTCGCACAGCCTTCTGCAATAGGTTAGGTTACTGTCAAGACCAAAGAAGGAAGTCTGTTCGAACATTTAATTGGATATTTTGTTTTCATTTTGATTAGAATTATTTATTTCAATTTTGATGGGACTTAGTGTTTTCATTTATTTTAGAATTATCTTTGATTTCCACCGATGGTGATGACACATTCTGAGTTATTGTTACATTTTGCGTCAGTGCTGCGGTCGTAAACTGGAGATCTGTTGGAGTGAATACGGGCTTTCCTCAGTAACAGAGAGTTCATGGTGGCGATAGGCGATTCAGTGTCAACCAGTAGGGCGGTGACCAGCGGCGTTCCCCAGGGTTCTTGGGACCGTTGACGTTTTTCCTCTACTCATCGGACCTGCCTTTTGGATGCTGTCAACACAAAGATATCATCCCCCGTTCCAATGGTAACATTCCTCAATGCAACCTCCACAACGTTTTTGAATGGTCCAGAAGATGACTGCCGCCCCTGAACTCGGAGAAGAGCTGCGTTCTACACGTTAGATAGAACAATTCAAAAATCAATGACATCAATCAATTTATCGAGAGTTTCTGGATGTCTTAGTTCATATAGCAGAAAAATTATCTATAATACCATCACACTGGACAACAAATTTTAGTTTTTTAATTGTATCTTGTGGGAAAAGTGCACTTCTTTGTTAATTTTGGGGCGCTGAATCCAAAAATGGCAATGAAAAAAATTAGTTGCGGTTTAGAAAAAAAACTTTTTATTTTTAAGGATATATTAAAAAAAGTAACAAGATTCATATACTTATAAGAATCACTATATGCGCTGTCTTTTTGATGTTCTTTTATGGATCGTTTCTGGAGCATCTCTACCAAGAGTCCAACAGTAGTCTGCAAGCATGGAAGCATTCCACTTTCCCTGGTACTTTTTTTCCATTGTTGAAATATCCTGATGAAAACGTTCGCCGTCCTCATCACTTACGGCTCCGCCATTGTCAGGAAAAAAGTCCAGGTGTGAGTGTAGGAAATGTATCTTAAGAGACATATTACAGCCCATCTTGTGATACGATGACAGCATATTTTTGACAAGGGTTTTATCGTTGTCAGCTTTTCTATTTCCCAAGAAATTAGTGACCACCAGACGGAAATCATTCCAAGCAGTTTTTTCAATACCTGTTAAAGTGTTTTCAAACTGTGTATCTTTCAAAATATTTCGAATCTGTGGCCCAACAAAAATAACTTCTTTAACCTTTGCCTCACTTAGTCTTGGAAATTTCTGACGCAGGTATTGAAAAGCTGACCCATCTCTATCTAATGCCTTGACAAAGTTTTTCATTAGGCCCAACTTGATATGCAGTGGTGATAATAAATTTTTTTTCGAATCTACTAATGGCATATGCTGTACATTTTTTTGACCTGGCTCTAGGAATTGACGAACAGGCCAGGTTTGTCTGGTGTAATGAAGTGCCTTTGCCCGAGTGTCCCATTCACACAAAAAACAGCAAAACTTTGTGCAGCCGAGCTGCAGCCCAAGTAAAAGTGCAACAACTTTCAAATCGCCACAAATATGCCATTGATGCTCATCGTATTTTATGCATGTCAATAGGTACTTCATATAGTCATATGATTCTTTCATGTGAACTGCATATCCTACAGGAAGAAATGGTAAAATATTTCCAATATGCAATAACACTGCCTTTAAACTCAATGTTGAACTGTCTATAAACAATCTCCATTCTTCTGGGTTATAGTTTATATTTAAAGCCGCCAGTAAGCCGTTAATGTTACTGCAGAAAACCAAGTTATTCTCCATATTGAAAAATGGTTCTAAGTCTTTGTGGCGTTTACGAAAAACACATACCGAAACATCGTCTTCTAACAAGTTCCACTGCTGCAGTCTTGATCCAAGTAACTCTGCCTTACATTTTGGAAGTTCTAAATCTCTTACAAGATCATTAATTCTGACTGTATTATTTTGTGCGGTTGGTGGCATATCTTCTTCCTGACGAATCACTCGATCGCCATGATCTGATTCGTTTTCTGATTCGCAAGTGTAGGATTCTGGGGGTTTTGGAATAGGATTTTCGTCACTGTGAGGCACAGGTCTCATCGCAGATGGTATGTTTGGATAGTTAATAACCGATTTTATTTCTTGGACATACCTGTGGCTTGTCCAACACAAGGTACCATGCAAAACTAACAATCATTAATATGATTTGTAGGCTCTCTCCAAACCATTGGACAGCAAAGCGCATAGACCGTTTTTTGCCATTTAACCAGCTCCTCAGACTTGAAGCACATGTATTACAGCAGATGTGGGATGCCCACTGTTTGTCTTGATCACCTAGTTTACAACCGAAATAAAGCTGATATGCCTTTGTTATTAGTGGAGTAATAGACCGTCTCTGAGACGCAAAAGTCACATCACCACACACGTAACAAAACTGATCTGGATTGTTTACACACTTTCGAGACATCTTGCATGAACGCTGTCAGCCAACTGAGGAAAAAATGGCTAATATAAAACAATATAATGTACACGTATGTATAACGTAACACAATCATGCCGATTACATCATCTTTCCTTGCCGAATATAAAAATGTAGCACGTGCATTCTTGTGAATTACAGTATATTAACACTGTCACAGCAGGAACACATATAATTACCGTATCTCTAAAGCTTGAACTAATATTGAAAAAATGAGTTTCATTCCGGTTTTAGCACATTAAAAATAGTAATATTTTGTTGATTTTATTTAGGATATTTTTTGGCTGTTGATCAGTGTCATTCTTCCAAATTTCTTGTAATGTTCGACTATTCTATATTTAGCAAATAATTCCATTTTTGAAAGACTGCAAATTTTACAAAATAAGTGCATGAGAATAATACTAAATAAAGATAAATATACTCCAATTAGGCAAATGCTTAGCAAATTAAAATGGCTCAATGTCAAAATTTTTATCAAATATCTTGTAATGATATTCATTTATAAAGTAAAAAATAATATATTTCCATCAAGTCTAACTAATTTAACATCATCAAATGTCGACCATCTTTTAGATAATACCAGAAATAAAGATGACTTCCATTTAATGACCAAAAAGTATAACATATGCTACAAATCTGTATTCCATTAAGGGTTGATTGAATATAATAAATTACACTGGACAACAAATTTTAGTTTTTTAATTGTATCTTGTGGGAAAAGTGCACTTCTTTGTTAATTTTGGGGCGCTGAATCCAAAAATGACAGTGAAATAAAAAAATTAGTTTCGGTTTGGAAAAAAAACTTTTTATTTTTAAGGATATTTTAAAAAAAGTAACAAGATTCATATACTTATAAGAATCACTATATGCGCTGTCTTTTTGCTGTTCTTTTATGCATCGTTTCTGGAGCATCTCCACCAAGAGTCCAACAGTAGTCTGCAAGCATTGAAGGATTCCACTTTCCCTGGTACCTTTTTTCCATTGTTGAAATATCCTGATGAAAACGTTCGCCGTACTCATCACTTACGGCTCCGCAATTGTCAGGAAAAAAGTCCAGGTGTGAGTGTAGGAAATGTATCTTAAGAGACATATTACAGCCCATCTTTTGATACGATGACAGCATATTTTTGACAAGGGTTTTATAGTTGTCAGCTTTTCTATTTCCCAAGAAATTAGTGACCACCAGACGGAAATCATTCCAAGCAGTTTTTTCAATACCTGTTAAAGTGTTTTCAAACTGTGTATCTTTCAAAATATTTCGAATCTGTGGCCCAACAAAAATACCTTCTTTAACCTTTGCCTCGCTTAGTCTTGGAAATTTCTGACGCAGGTATTGAAAAGCTGACCCATCTCTATCTAATGCCTTGAAAAAGTTTTTCATTAGGCCCAACTTGATATGCAGTGGTGGTAATAAATTTTTTTTCGAATATACTAATGGCATATGCTGTACATTTTTTTGACCTGGCTCTAGGAATTGACGAACAGGCCAGTTCTGTCTGGTGTAATGAAGTGCCTTTGCCCAACAGTCCCATTCACACAAAAAACAGCAAAACTTTGTGTAGCCTAGCTGCAGCCCAAGTAAAAGTGCAACAACTTTCAAATCGCCACAAATATGCCATTGGTGCTCATCGTATTTTAAGCATGTCAATAGGTACTTCATATTGTCATATGATTCTTTCATGTGAACTGCATACCCCACAGGAAGAGATTGTAAAATATTTCCAATATGCAATAACACTGCCTTTAAACTCAATGTTGAACTGTCTATCAACAATCTCCATTCGTCTGGGTTATAGTTTATATTTAAAGCCGCCAGTAAGCCGTTAATGTTACTGCAGAAAACCAAGTTATTCTCCATATTGAAAAATGGTTCTGTCTTTGTGGCGTTTACGAAAAACACATACCGAAACATCGTCTTCTAACAAGTTCCACTGCTGCAGTCTTGATCCAAGTAACTCTGCCTTACATTTTGGAAGTTCTAAATCTCTTACAAGATCATTTAATTCTGACTGTGTTATTTTGTGCGGTTAGTGGCATGACGTGCTCGGTATAAAATCAGGATCTCTTGACGTTGATGGCATATCTTCTTCCTGACGAATCACTCGATCGCCATGATCTGATCCGTTTTCTGATTCGCAAGTGTAGGATTCTGGGGGTTTTGGAATAGGATTTTCGTCACTGTGAGGCACAGGTCTCATCGCAGATGGTATGTTTGGATAGTTAATAACCGATTTTATTTCTTGGACATACCTGTGGCTTGTCCAACACAAGGTACCATGCAAAACTAACAATCATTAATATGATTTGTAGGCTCTCTCCAAACCATTGG